GATGTTTCATCTTTTAAGCCAGAATCTATTGTTTAATAGAGCTGGCCCTGGGGAAACTTTTTTTTTTATTTTTAGACCTTTTTATGTTTTAATTTTATTAATAGACCATTCCAAAATATATTTCTAAATCTAAACCTTTTAGTGTGGCCTAATAACTCTGTCATGTCGCGTGCAGTGGGTGTGACAATTTTGTCTTGCCATGCCAGCGAGAGCGCGTGATCAAAAAACGCTGCCACGCAAGCGCCCGCCGGCGTGGCCAAATAATGTTGCCCCGCTAGCAGGAGCGGCGTGATAGTATAGGCCAAAAGTTTCAGATCTTGAAAATAAATTTTGGATGGGTTTATTTTTAAAAGGCATGTCTTTTTAAAATTAAAAATTAAAAAGGTTCAAAAAATATTTAAAAAATCGCCCTGGGGCTGTTCCTAACTGGTTTCGTCCTTGCAAATACCCAACTCCAAAAGCTCTTGTAGTAGGAGCCCAATATATCAAGCGGGTCCAATATATCATGTCTTTTCCTATCCGGTATACATACACACCAATAGATACTACAATAGATTTGCTGGGGCATATAAATGATGCACCTAAAATAAAAGGTAAAATCTAATTCCCGCGCGCGAAATAGTCTTACAGCGAGACGCCATGCGGTAGCCATCGAAAGATGTGAGTATTCATGTAGTACTAGTCTATTTAAAATTTTTGATGAATTATATATTTCAAACCATATATTATTTTTAACACCCGTTTTAACCATTGAACTTCACTCAAAATATATGATAAAATAAGTACAATATTGAATATATTAAAATATTTAAAATTAATTTAGTTAAATGTTAGAATTAACTAAGCTCTATAATGAAAGTAACTTTTTATAGCATTAGAAGTAATTACATATATGTGTTAAAAATATCTTCATAGGTAAAGTGTAGATTTACAAGTAAATACATGCCTTTTTTATTCGAGGTAAACCATATGTGTGTATAGATTATTGTTTTCGATAAATGCAACTTATTTTATATAAGAAGTAACTCTTTAGAAAATAGGATAAACTATTCACAGTATTAGTATTAGAAGTAACTCTTAATATTAGAAGTTACTACATTCCTAGAGAAAAGTAACTTAAAAAAATAGAACTGACCTTTTACGATGTTAAAAATAACTGCACTGCCAGAGGGAAGTCATTCTTCATGGTATTAAAAGTAATTATACCGCTATAAGGAAGTAACTCTTCATAGTATTCGAAGTAACAACACTGCCATAGAAGTAAATAATCTAAATATATTCAATATTGAGCTCGTTTTGTTATATATTTTCAATAGAGTACGATGGTTCAATCAAATCTTGAAAACAATATATTGTTTAAAAGATATAAGTCACCAAAGATTTTAAAAGTAATAGTGCAATGGTACTAGACTCCGTTAGCACGTGAGACGTGACTACATAGTACTAAAAGTGGAAATGCACTATGACATCTCTTTTTTTTTTTAACAAAACTACGTCTGAGGGACGTGATGCTTCTATTTTTAGCAAGTACATTCATCGTTGTTTAGGACTAGAGAGCTATCACTCTTGTTGTAGTCACTTTAATACATACATAGTATACCTACACATCTGTATATACAAATAACAATAACATCGAATCATTCATGCTACAGTTGAAGGAAATTGTACACTCAATCAATCTCCTTATACACTAAAAAGTAAAAACATCGATCCTAACAAAGTATAATGTTGACAATTATTTAAGTCATCACTACTAGGAAAACTATTCTCCAAAATGGGTCTTCGCAGACGGACGACCGGTCCGCCTGCAGGAAGTAATCTGAAAGAACTGAATTATATATTCGTGAGATGGGGAAGTAATCTAAAATATAAATTTCAAACCCAACCTTACCTACCTTGGTTAACATAGTTAACATTATACTTAAAACTAACTTCCAAAATTCTATCATGGCTGCTGACCATCCACCTGTTCGGCAAATTTCAAATCCATTGTCCCTTTTGACATTTTGCCTGCCTTTTGACATTCTCTCCAACTGAAACTTTGTTGTCTTTTTGACCCTGTTAATTTGTTTTGTCTCCAGATAGAAGTCACAGATTATAATGGATTTCAACATCTTTCCATCTGTGCCTGTATGCATGTGTTCCAATGGAATAATGATCATGTTTTCATTAATCTGGGAACGTGCATGATGCCCAAGTATATCAAAAGTTGCTGAATTGGGAATCTGAGCTCTTTTGATAAACTAGTTTAGTTGATTACTCCACTTGTCTTGATGCAAACAAAAAGATGGATCGATCTAACTTTACTTCAATATTTTGGATGCAGTAGAAGATATTTTGGCACAACTCCTGTTAATACAAAAATGATCCATCTCATCAGCATCTCAATCTCTATAGCTAGCTTGCTAGAAGATGCTTTGCTACTTTCCCTCTTGGCACCTTTTGATGGAACAAAAATGCATCCTTTTGGTCAATTAATGCTACTTCCTGCATCCCACGTACACATTGACCACTTTACTTGATCATGGACACTCTCTGGTTTTTAATAGGTAACATCATTACCTTTTGAATGTATGTTCCGTCTTATTTTAAAAAAATATAATATAAAAAAAATACATGTTTATGGTACCTTTAATGATAAATCAATTCACAATAAAATTAATAATACTTAAGTATTTTTTAATAAGATGAATAATCAAAAGTTAACAACATAATATATTAAAAACCGAAAAAAGTATTATTTTCCAACAACGGAGACTAGAGGAGAGGCTTAGACCAGATAGCGCAAACATGGAAAAACATCTAATATATGTTGAAGGGGCTGCTTAGAAGATTGATTGCTAAAATAGCATAAATATTAATACTATACCCATGAGTTTCATGGTTTCATCTTTATATGAAGTTCCCCTCTTAATTATCCCCGTTTCTTGAAATATATGGAACTATTTTCCAAGCATATATGTAGATATATATTACATACAGCCTAGCAGTCCTCATTGCATGGTAGTAACTGTATATAAGTAGTACTATTATTATATGTATGAAGTTTCACACTTAGAAATTTTACTTTATAGTATGAGCTGCAATAACCCACATTCTTGCTGACTTCATTCACTTCAAAATAACAAATACTCCAAAATTCCATACTAAAAGATATATGACTATCAACAGAAAATTAGGATGGCATGTTCCAAAATTCCATATATAAATATGATCATGACATGGATGAATTTTTATCAAATATTAACCCAAAAAAAAGAAAAATGGGGAAATGATGAAACCAACTATTATTATCTATCCTTTATATTTTACTCCCTCCATTCCATATTGTAGGTCGTTTTAGTTTTACCTAAGTCAACTTCTCTAACTTTAACCGAGTTTATCTAGCAGCTTATTTACTATGTCATTTACACCCAGCCGGTGGGATAATTAATTTTCAGTGGTTATATGACTTTACCAAAGCAAGAAATTAAGCACCCCTAACTAAAAATGTGCCGACATCTATAATAACAAATAAATGTAGTATCAAAACATATTTCAAATGGTGGATTTAATGAAACTAATTTGTTGTTGTAGATGTCTATGTATTTTTATATTATAAACTCGGTCAGAATTAGAGAAGTTTGACTTAGGACAAAACTAAAACAAGAACTGAGAGAGTATGATCCTATATATGATTTTTCAGAATATCTAATAATTTTCATAAGATCTCTAACTGTTTATTTTTGTGTTCCAAAACCTCTTATACTCTCTTGTTATGAATACTAGTCCTTGATTGAGGAACACTTTTTATGTAACGGTTCCTTTTTTACTTGGCATCGAATACTATCTATGTACAAACATTAATTAGCCGCTCGTATTGTTTGAGAAAAATATAAATATTTTAAAAGATACCAAACTATCAAAGCACCTAATTATAACTATACTACTTACATTCATCAAAACATTGTAATTTAAAAGTTTTTATTGGTCAAAAATAAAATCACACTGGCCAACAGTACTGGCAAGTAAAAGAGATCAGAGAGAGTGTAGTTCCAATCCTTACCCAGGAACCAACCACATGTTGAAGGTTGGTCGAATAGATGGTTGCAAAATAGAACCATAGCGGAGCTGGCCCCTAATCTAGTAAATATGATCCCTAAAAAGATTAGCAAGCATCCTACCATAGCACAAACTTTAGAAAATCATGGGTGGACTGCTGATATCAAAGGAGCACTCATTGTCTAAGTCATTGTTGAGTACTTGCGAGTTTGGGACTTGGTGGACGGGGTAATCTTGTAGGATGGCATCCCAGACCAACATCATTGGATGTTCATGAGGTCTGAATTGTACACCCGTAAATAAGCATATGAGTCCTTATTTGTTGGAACAATCAAGTTCACTCCATGGATTTGTTGAAGGATAAAACAGAGAAACAAATCAAATCAAACATTTGAGCCAATTTTAATCATATCTACACCTACCCTTCCACCTGAAACATTTTACTTGATACGGATTTTACCTGGCTTAATTTCAACAAACTTGCTTTATAACCCCCCCACCCCACCCCAAAAGATTGCTTTATAAGAATATATATGTAAACCTTTCAAAAAGAAATAAGAGGAGTACAAAAGCAAAAGACCTCCCCTCCCTAATGGGCCATGAACACATCACTTGGGACTTGGGCTGCTAGAAAGCGATTGGGCCCAACCCAAGTGACACAGACTTGGACACTAGTGCTAAGGACAGCCCTGTTGCTGTCAACCACGAGGCCCACGTTGGTCCTCACGTCCACAGAAAAACAAAGCACAAAAAAACCCAACCCTTGCGCCGGCGATAACTTTGCGAGCCCCCCCGCGTGGACGCGGACCACCAACCTCACCTCCTGCACCCGTGCGCCTCCTCTTCTCCCGCTCACATGACATGCGGGCCCATCTGAGTCAGCGGCGTATGGATCGATCTGGTGAACCCGGCGTAGGTATGACGAGCGAATGCCACATGGGTGACACAGCTGTGGTGTGGTTGGTCGCGGCAGTGAAAGGAGAAAGAAGCGAGCGCATGGAGTTCATCGGGTGAGCGTTCTTGGTAGTAGGAGATTCTTCTCCAATCCGTGGGAGAAGAGCTAGGAGGAGCGGAGGAATCCGTGTCCCCTCCCGCGGACCTGCTTCTCCGGCTGCCCGTAAGTTGGATTTTTCTCTGCTTCGCTCCCTCCCCTCCTCGCGCCATTGTTTTTTTCTTGGTCCTTTGGCTCTCGGGTGCGTCGCCACCGCGATTCGATCTGGGGGGAGAGGGAGGAGGCGCAGGCGGAGCGCACGAGGGAGGTGGGTGGAGGAGAGGGTGGGGGGCGGCGGCTTAGCTGCTGTGGACGGCAGAAGGGGTTTCTTGTGTTCCAGACAAGAATCCTGAGGAGTGAGAGCATTACATTGACATCCTCATCAGGGCTTTGGGTGTGGAAAGAAGCGTATAATGATGTATTCCTTGTTCAGAATTTACTGTTGGTTAAAAAGTATATGTGCTTCAACTTTTGAGGACAGGGCCATAGGGGGTGAAAATAAGATATAAGTAAATAACTTACAAGGAAACATGGATGAGAGTGTGTACCATAAGCACAATTTCGTTTTGTTTCAATACCAAATATTTTCTTTTAACTAAATGGATTCATTGACAATAAGGTATTTGCTTCAATATGCGTTCTTATTACTTCATATCATACCACATTTTGTGATTGGGGAATTTCATATAGTTTCAGATGCTATGTTAGTTTGAGCCATATCGTCCAACCCTGCTCACTCCCCCTCCTAAATTTCCATTTTCCATGTTTTGTTGTGCAGGAAACATGCTTTCTCCCTATCAGCCTTTGTGATGCATTGAACAGGGGTTGAGAAGTACTGTAATTTTTGTAATGGCTGGGTGTTCCTTGGCAACACTGAGAGGACAACATCGAGGGAGATGGATCCAATCTCACAGCAAGCTCCCCACAAGGATTATGTCTATTAATCTGCCAAAGAGGTAAAAAAGTTTTCCGTACTCTGTTGATATTAGTCATCTTGAGTTCTTCAATGGTAATTTAATGTTTGATTTTCTTCATTTGCAGTAATCACAGTCACAAGATTCAGCTTCCATGCCAGTCCAATTTAGGAAGAAAACAGAAAACTGGTGCATTTGCTCCTTTGGGTTTTCATGGAAGGTGTTGCCGGATCGAAACATCAGTTAAATGTTATTTCTTGCAGTCGCTTGTGGATTCTGAGAGTATGATCTCACCAAATTTGTTATTGCTTTCTGATGAAGCTCTACTAACTATCAGTATAGTTTTTGCATATTTGGCTGGAGTTGTACCCTCTGGCCATGCATTTCCTCATGCTAGAAACCATAGTCAAAACCAACATCTTGGAGCTCCAGGTCCATCTGATTCTGGTAGGTAAGAGTAGCTGCTTAAGTATGACTTCTAGATCTCAAAACATTGGCTTGACAATAAAAAATGATAATGTATTCTTTCCATTCCAATTTCTAGGGATATGAAATGGTTACCTGAAGGGAATACTAGGTTTTACCCCAGCGATACATGGAGTGAAGTGAGAATGAAACTTTCAGAAGCCTTGCAATCGAATGGTCGAGATGCCACTTCGGATGGCAGCGATAGTGAACTCAAGAACAATCGCAAAAATTATCCTTTGAGTATGCTTGCAATTCATGGTGGTCCCAGGCTGCGGCTTCTTCTAGCTACCTTTCAGCTACTTGAGATGGAGGCAAGAGGGCCATCAACTTTTTCTTTCTAATATGCTGGGGATTATCATGGATGAATACTGAAGATTACCCATGCATACTTCACTTATTTTTTTTTCTAAGGGAGAGAGCATACTTCAAAAAGCTTAAGCAAGCTGGTAGTTGTGATATTTTCTACTAAAATGGTGCCACTATCCTTCTGTAGAGTATTATAATGGATGAATCCTGAAGATTGTTCTTGCATGTTTCACTAGCTTAGTTAAGCTTTCTCTCTTTGTTTTTTTAATGTTACTTGACTAGCCACTAGAACTATGGACTAAAGTTCAGTCAGTATCAAGATATGTTTTTCTTTCTAACCAGCACAGCTGTATAATATGTCAGAACACATGTGTTGATTTTGTTGTAGTTAATTTGATCTTGTGCAGGTAAGAAATGTTCCTGAAAGTTCTGAACTTGTAGATGGGATCAAATGGTTGCAAATATCAACTACGTTGATTGATGGCTTGATTGAACCAACATTTATGAAATGGATTCAAGAAGAAAAAGCCTGGGAGAACAGCAAGATCAATGAAGTATACCATTATTTTCAACTGTCTTACATTTCTCCATATTGTCATGCCTTCAAGTCCCTGATAGTTTTCTTTTTTCCTGATAAAGGAACTTATGAAGACGGTAACCAGCAAAATAAAGGAGGATGACAGGATCTTGAAGAGGTTCAACAGATTAGGGAAATCTGAACTCTATTTGGATCTGCTTTATTTCCTGAGATTTGGTTCTGCAAGGTACTATTTATCTTCACTTCTTGATCCATATGGTACCACTTTTTTCCATCTGAACTCCATCTCCTGTTTAAGAGTTTAAGATGGCACTATTGGTTGTTTATTGTCTGTACTTATATCCATATATAGCTATTTACCAAACAGTAATCCTTCCATAAGGTAAATGAGTTCATTCTTATCCTTCATTTCCTGATGGCAGGTCTTATAGCTATTTTGATGCTAAATTTCTGGCTGAACATGGAGCGAGAATTTTGGAGGACCTGGTTATTTTCTTAGCTGACGCGGTCGCTAGTATTTACATAGAGCTTATATCAGTTGATGGTGATATGCCGACTGATGTTGTTGGTTCCAGCTTAGCTCTATGCTCGCTGTCAACCAGAGAACTTCAAAGAATGCGTAACGAGGTAATAGTTGTGGATAATTCAAGGTGTTGCTTGTGCTTTTACTGTTCAAATGTGCTTTTCAAAACTTGCTTGTATATACACCAAAAAATAAGCACTTTTTATGCTCACAGTTTGGATTTGGTAAGTTGATGATTTATAGTTGGCTTTGCATGAAGTTAGTAGTCTCCTTGGAGACAAGCCAACAAATATTTAAATCCTACCCAAGCTGGAAACCATATCAACAGACTAACAGATCTTGAAATATTTTTTCTTCAAGTACTCTTATTGTTCTCGTATGGTATTGTAGTGTTATATCATCACTAATTAACTACGACCAGCCTTCTCAAGTTCTCATCATGATTTACGTGTAAGAAATGAACTGTGAACAGAGACGATGCTGCGATTCTAATATACTACATTTTGTCCACATGTGTACCTTCTGTGTCATTTTCTCTTAACCTTATAAGACATTTTGATTGCCAAACAAATATTTTTAAGTGAATATCACAGTACATGTTACGTGAATAATCTAATTGGGCAAATATTTGCACTTTGAACTCTCCTCTTTTTGGTTAATATTTTTAAGTTTTTAGGAAACATCTCTATTCCAGTTTTTTCTTACTTCCAGATTTGATAATCCAGTGCTAAATTTTTTTAAGGTGGCAATTAATGGGTGGCTGCACCAGTATTTTGAGTCAGTTGTCTCAATGTACGAGGACAGGTTTGAGTTATATGTTTTATCCAGAAAACTTTGTGAAAAACCAGCAGATAATCAAGCTGAAGTGACAAACTGGTGGAGGCTTGGATTTGGAAAGCCTTCCACCGTTACTCTTCTAGAGTACGTTCACATAAGCTCATTTTCTCTTCCGGTGAGAAGGACGAAAGAATTGAGAGCTCTGGCTGGATGGTATTCGCAATTTCCTTTTCTACCATTCTTTTCATGAATAATTCATGGAAACATTTCTGTGCGACTTGGGGCAAGATGAACATAACTTTACTCTGTTCTGTTGCAGGAGGTATTATTTCAGCCTATTATTAGAAATGTCAGATATTGCCATGCCTTTCATAAGGGCTGTTGTCACCAAAGTTAGTGCTGCAGTGTCGTACTTCTGGGTGTCCATGATAGGAAGGTCTCTGGGATTGATTTTCTCAGGGATAAGGCAATCACTTGGTTGGAGATGATCAGATGTTTCTTTGGTTTTTGATTGTGAGATCTTGTGACTGAGCGATATTTGCCTCGCAGTCATGTCCAGTTTTGTCAATTTATATAGGCTTTTCGTTGACCTTTTTTTTTACTGTTGAGATGGCTGACTTCTGGTCCTCGTTATACATGTTCTGTATCACATAATGTAACAAAGTTCATTGATCTGACCAAAGGGTGAAAATTATTTGTTAATCTTGGAATGCATCATGTGGTATATAACATTTTGAAGGCAAACCACACATTTCAGGACATTATGGCAGAAGTCAGATTGTCTGATCCAAAAACTTGTACAGATTTATCCAGTCTGCACCAATTTGAGAAAACAATATTTCAACCATGAGTCATTCCCACTTTCTATGCAAAAGCAGAAGCAAACTGCCCAGTGACTTGCTTGGGTTTGCTCTATTCTATGCTGTGTTTAGCCTCTTCCAGAAGAATTTTTTTTTACTATTTTAAATTTTTATTATTTCACCAGCCGCGGTTGGTATGGCTGTTTTTTCTTGCCTCTAGAAAGTTTTTTTTTTTGCCACTAGTGTGGCCAACGTGGCAAAACATTACTATCACGCCAATCAGACTGGTGTGGCAAAATAACATTACTATCACGCCAATCAGACTGGTGTGGCAAAATAACGTTGACACGTTAGATAGAGCGGCATGGTAACATTGTTTCACCGTGCTAACATGGCTAAAAGGTATAGATTTAGAAAGGTTTACTTTTAAAATTAAAAATTAAAAAGATTTAAATAATAATAATAATTCTACAACCAGCTCCTCCACAGACCAGGAGACGACGATGGCCTAACCTGTCCTGCAATTTGCTGTTCGGTGAACTTCCACTGGAAGAGTTGGTGTCCTGACTAATCTAACGACAGTTGATCTTCCCATGAACAGCTTCAATGGCACAACTCCAGAAAGCATCTACGCATGCAAACTTCAGTAACTAATTTCCATACAAACTTCGTAGAAAACAATGAAGGTGAACCAGAATACTTCTATTATACTAGTAGTACTCGTAGATAGCACTATAGCAGTACAACACACAAGCAAGTCCATGAAGGCTCAGCCTTTACTAGGAAGTTGAAGGCTCAAAGTTTGTTCAACCTTGCAAACGCAAGCGCATTCCAGCAGCAGCACGCAACACATGGTTATTTAGATCTGCATCGGTTACACTTTCAGTATTGATCCAACTAACCATCTCAAGGAAACATAAAAAGAGTAGAATGTAACCAACAAAACACAGGTCAATCTTTCAATTGCTGTGAAGGCCAAGAACAGTCAACAGTCGCGAGTTGGGGACGAATTCAAAATGCAACTGCTGGATAGGTTGTTAAGATCAGCAGCAGTGTACGTCATACAAAAATAGATAAATCAAAGGAAATCAGTGTAGGCTTATAGACTTTGGACCATGACTCTGCTTCAGGAGTGAAGGAATGGAAGTTTAACAAATCATCTCAAGTAGACTAGTGTGTCTCAAGTGGCCAAGTGTATGGATAAATATACTTTTTAAGTGCAAGTATTTCCGTCAAACAATGTGAGTCTAACACATCATGCTGAAAGCAAATAATAGATCGAATTTACAAACCATACCTAAGCATAGCACTAAGCCAGTGAGAGGCAGCAGTAGCAAACGCGTAGGTCAACATTCCATCAGCTTATTGTTCTTCGCCTGTTTGGTGCGTTTAGGCAATGCTATTCTTTCTCTCTGCAAGGAATTTAGCAATGTTATTCGACAATATATAGCTCAAGGACTGTATTTTTTTTGCACAGGATACCAGCTTATATTGGCAAACCATGCTCAGTAGCCTGCCAGTTTCTGACAGAAATACTGACCAAGAAGCCAAATCACATCCTTCATGCAAACAAAGCCAGCAGTTTTCGCATGAATTTCTTTCACCTTGCGCTTGTGCTACTGCCGCTGAGCTTCATCTGTCCTCCCGTCGGTTCATGCATTGAGCAGGAGAGGCTAACCCTCCTCCGGTTCCTCGCGGAGCTGTCACCGCCACATGATAATGGCCTCGCTGCGTCATGGAGGAATAGGACCGACTGCTGTACCTGGGAAGGGATCATCTGTGATGTGGATGGTGCAGTAACCAAGATCTTGCTGGCCTCAAGAGGCCTTGAAGGGCGCATCTCGTCATCCCTGAGCGAGCTCACCAGCTTGTCGCGGCTCAACCTGTCATACAACTCACTCTCCGGTGGGCTTCCGCCAGAGCTGATATTCTCTGGCAGCATCGTTGTCCTCGATGTCAGCTTCAACCGCCTCGGCGGGGAACTACAAGAGGTAGACTCATCATCATCTGATTGGCCACTCCAGGTACTGAATATCTCAAGTAATCTGTTTACTGGAGCATTTCCATCCACCACATGGGAGAAAATGAGCAACCTAGTAGCGATCAATGCAAGCAACAACAGCTTCACTGGGCACATACCTTCCTCTTTCTGCATCAGCTCACTATCCTTTGCTGCTCTTGACCTTTGCTACAACCAATTCAGTGGCGAAATCCCCGCTGGGATAGGTAAATGCTCTGCACTTAGAATGCTCAAAGCTGGCCACAACAACATTAGTGGGGCCCTCCCGGATGATCTCTTCCATGCCACATCATTGGAGTACCTCTCTTTTCCTAACAATGGTTTGCAAGGAACAATTAAGCTTGTGATAAAGCTCAGTAATCTAGTTTTTCTTGATCTTGGGGGGAACAGTTTCAGTGGCAAGGTCCCAGAATCTATAGGCGAGCTCAAGAAACTGGAGGAGCTTCGCATGGACCATAACTACATATCTGGGGAGCTGCCATCAACCTTGGCCAATTGCACAAATCTAGCAGCCATCGTCCTCGTGAGCAACAAATTCACAGGAGACCTTGCTAAGGTTAACTTCTCCAACCTACCAAATCTGAAAACTTTAGATCTTTGCACGAATTACTTCACCGGCACAATTCCAGCAAGTATCTACTCATGCAGTAATTTAACTTGGTTGCGGTTATCTTTCAATAAGCTTCACGGTCAGTTGCCAGAGGAGACAGAAAAGTTGAAATCCCTTACCTTTGTATCTCTTTCGTACAACTACTTTACCAATATCACAGGTGCACTTCATATACTCAAGAGCTTAAGGAACCTCACTACCTTGCTAATTGGGGGCAATTTCATGCATGAAACTATTCACAGGATGAAACAATTCATGGTCTTGAGAATCTTCAGGTTCTTGGCATAAATGATTGTGCACTGACTGGAAAAATACCTAGTTGGCTCTCAAAGCTAAAAAAATTGGAACTTCTACTTTTATACAACAATCAACTTAGTGGACCAATACCAACCTGGATCAAGAGCCTAAACTACCTTAAGTATGTAGACTTATCCAATAATAGCCTTATAGGGGAAATACCAACATCACTAACAGAGATGCCAATGCTAAGATCAGACAAGATTGCGGATCACTCAAACCCAAGACTCTTTCGGATGCCAGTTTTTGTGGCTCCATCTCTTCAGTACCATACGGCTAATGCATTCCCTAAAATGTTGAATCTAGGTAACAACAAATTCAGTGGTGTGATCCCCATGGAGATTGGTCAGTTGAAAGCGCTCCTCTCACTCAACTTGAGCTTCAACAACTTACATGGGGAGATCCCGCAATCGGCCAGCAACCTCAAGAATCTGATGGTGCTAGACCTGTCTTCCAACCATCTGACAGGTGCAATCCCTTCGTCACTGGCGAACTTGCACTTTCTTTCTAACTTCAACATTTCTTACAATGACCTTGAAGGGCCTGTACCAACTATAGGCCAGTTCAGCACATTTCCAACTTCCAGTTTTGCTGGGAACCCGAAGCTATGCAGCCCTATGCTTTTGCACCGCTGCAATTCAGCAGGAGCAGCTCCAGTCTCCACAATCCCCACAAAGCAGTACATTGACAAGTTTGTCTTCGCAATTGCATTTGGCATGTTCTTTGGAGTAGGAGTGCTATATGATCAAATTGTTGTGTCCAGATTCTTTGGCTAAACCAGACAATAATTTGTGCTGGCTTGTACTGTTGTACATTACGCAATGGGTCACAGAATTGAAATAAGCAACCAACAGCCGACTTTCTAATTAATATAACCATCTCCAGGATTCCAACCGTGTAGGATATGGTCGATGAGTCGGTGGAAACATAGTAAACTGAAATCATAGATTCCAACTGTGTCATATGGACTATGGTCGACGAGTTTGTGGAAGCATAGTAAACTGAAATCATAGTTAAAAGAACTGTGTCCATATTGTGTGGGGATGTCAATGCTTACCGATATAATCTATACTAAATACTATATACGGAATATTTTTTCTGCAATTTGCAACAAGGTATAGTTAATTAGGAAAAACTGGGTGATGGTTCCTTTTTTACTTAAAATAGGACACTTCTTTTTTATATAAAACGTCAGTAACAGCCTGACCGATTGAAAAAAAATTACAATTAATTATGGAAAATTGGGGTTACGTTTTCTCATTAAAATGAGACACTTCTCTATATAAAACGTTGATAACGCACTGACCGTTCGAAAAAAAATTGCAACAAGGTGACCGTAAATCTGCAACTGACAACTAGATCTCTGCAAAACTAGAGAACAAAAAAACATGTAAGTGGAAACTACCGAAGCTCACACGAGCACAATCCCAAGATCGGTAAAACGAACATGATGATTCTTTCACAAGAGCTTTGCAGCTAGCCTTGATTGATTTACCTCAGGAGAAGAGCGAGCGAGCATAGCCCACGAACTCACAGGAGTCGCAGGATGCGACCCTCGGGCCTTGGCCCTGCGCCGATCCGATCCCATCCCATCCGATCGCCATGCCTGCCGAGCGCCGCCGAGCGCCGGCCGCCCGCTTCCTTTCGTTGGACGGTGGGAGCGGCGGCTACTGGCGAGGATGCCGGAGTTCCAGGAGATCGGCATAGGTGGGCCTTCAACATGTGGGCCTAAGCAGTCTGGGCTGGGCAACGGGTGGACAAGAATGAATGAAGTGCATTTTGATTCCCTACCCAGTGGATTCGTATCCCTGAAGCGTAAGAAATCTTTTTCAGAAATTATTTTATGGTGTTTTAACGCTCTCAACTGAATTTTCATATATGATATGAACACGCTTAAGTAATGTCAAGTATTTTTGAAATATTTTTTCATATGATTTCTTTGTGATGTTTCATTCGTTGGGGCTTAATTATACAGTGGTTGTTGTTGTTGCAGTCAGTATTTTCTAAATGTTACATTTTTCTCCCCTTCAAAAAAAAATGTTATATTTTTCTAAAACATTTTAGAAACTTAATTGAAACATTTGAGTAAGTAATGAAACAATTTTTTATAGGTAGTGAAACAATTTCATGTAATATAATATTTTATCAAAACATAATCAAGTGAGATCTTATTATAAATATTTAATCGCAACGAGAATAATGGTTTAATCAAATTATAAATTAGATGAGTATTAATAGATGCATGTATGCAGGCTCGGTGGGAGTGGGACGCTCAATTTTTTCTCTAAGCATTGTCCAAATAATTTATTAAATCTTATCTTACTACAAACTTATAACCCACTAAATTCTAAAGCTCAAAATGCAAAGATGTAACATCATCGTCCTCGACTAATAATTATTACATTTAAACATCATGCAAGCATTCTATATCAACTATAATTTTATATTGAATTTTAGAGCTTTAAAATGCATGAATGTTAAATTATCATCCTACATAATTCTTATCATATCTTACTATAAAGTTATCCCCCACTAACTCCTTAAGCTTAACATGCAAAGATACCACATCATCATCCACTAACAAGATGTCACATCATCATCCACTAATTAACAAGATACCACATCATCATCCACTAACAATCATCACATTTAAACATCATGCAATCATGCTATATCTTTATAGTTTTTATAATTTAAGAGCTTTTCAAATACAAACATGTGAAATTATCATCCAACATAATTCATATAATGTTTCAATGTATATCTTTATTATGTTTTATGATATCCTATATACTTATATAGTTCATCCTCACTTAGTTAGTGCTTAAATGATTAATCTATGGTCCAAATTATCTTTCTCTTTTTTTCCTCTAATTAAGTTATATCATATCAATTGTTTTTAGCCTTTAGATGATTAATCTACGGTCCAAACTATCTCCCTACTTTTCTTCTTCCATAAAGTCATACCATCTTACTTTTTACGTTTGAATCACCATTTTACATACTATTTAAATTTAAATTATCATAGACCACATTAATTTACTTAATCTGATGTTATCTAGCTATCTTACACATTTTTTTTTATTGTTATCATACTAAATTCCCACAGCAATGCGCGGGGTTTCACCTAGTATTACTATAAAGTTATAATCCACTAAATTCTAAAGCTCTACATGCAAAGATGACACATCATCCTCCACTAATAATTGTTATATTTAAACATCATGCAAGCATGCTATATTATCTATAATTTTATAATTATTGAATTTTAGAGCTTTAAAATGCAAGAATGTTAAATCATCATCCCACACATTCTATATAGTTCATCCTCACTTAGGTAATATTAATTTTCTCTTCTCTCATTAAGCCATATTATCTTAATTGTTTTTACCCTTAGATGATTAATTTATGGTCCAAATTATCTCTCTCTTTTTCTTCTCTCATAAAGCCATAGTGCCTTACTTTTACATTGAATCATCATTCTATATACTATTTAAATTTAAATTATCATAAACCATATCAAGTTATGTAAGCTTATGTTATCATACACATACTTATTATTATCATAGTAAACTCTCACAGTAACGTGGGGGGTTTCACCTTGTAATATGAGAAAAATACAGAAGGTGTGACAACATCATCCGCAAGAGAATGCCATGCATGATTTTTCGATATGGAAGGAAGAGAAAGAGGATAGAAGAACTCCGTTTACCAGAAGGTATAATAGACAGCTTAATCATGTATACCATTCTAGGTAAAATCTATAGAATCGAATCATCAATGATACATATCTGTTATTTCAGATAACTAGCACAACCTGTTGTAAAACCACTGTTCATGCCCTTGCTAACTCAGATTTTCTGAACCAAAAGAACTAGTGTAGATAGCTAAACCAAAAAAAAAAAAAAAGCGTTAAAGAATGTGTTACATACTTACATTGCTTTGCCACCTTTATTTCTTTTTATTTACAAGGCAGGTGGCAAAACGAAAGAATATTATGAACACAAAAACCTACAATACACCACTAACTTACAAACAAAATTGTCCAGCAATGGTTCGAATTTGACGGGTGTATCACAAGGTTTCTGCAACGAACAGAAAAACGATGGTTAGATGGTTCACAAAATCTTCTGAGAAAGAACTAACAAAAACAAGACTGAAAATCTACAAGATCTGTGACAACTATAGCATATATATATACTTGCCAAGGACTGCACATAACATTGAAAATGTCGGAATTCTTGATGGCATGCAGAAACACATGAAACTACAGAAACTAAATTATAATATTTCAATATGTATATAAAGCAGCCTAAATCTCCTTTCTTAGCACATTGGGAAACAAATAAAAGTACCAAAAGATTATGGTACCATTTCTCATTTAGTAGTACAAGGTGATGCAATTCTCCAGTTTCAATATATTATTCTATTTTCTGCACGTCAATCTGTTACATGTTTATTTTCAGGGAAAAGAACAAAGGTGCATCGCTAATACTAGTTCATAAACCAGAAGGATAGCTGATGACAAACAAAGAGAAGCCCATGCAAACTAATGTCAGTGCTAAATGTCCATGTCCTTCATAAAACTCAATGAAGAATTGAAGATACAGGCTTTTGTCTAAACTCTAATATCGAGGAAATATGTATAAAAACAAAAAAAAATCCTGTGTGACGAAGCAATTCAACTATTCAAGCAATACAATTTTGCAAAAGGAAAACAAAAAAAAGGCATCATGAGTTGCTAGTCACTTACCCTTTCTCCTTGTGTTGCCTGCAGCTGCCTTCCCTGCCTTCTCCTGGTGGCACAAATCAGACAATGACAATGGAGTCAGTGGTGGGGAAGAAGCATCACTGCCCTCCCTGCTATGCTTAGCCTCCAAGAGCTTATTCACAGTGATGATGGGCGTCCTCTGGCTGTTGGAAGGTATGGAGTAGCTCCTTGCCAAGGCCGCAGGCGGCCTAGGCAGCGGCGACGCCGTTCTTGACGCCTTCGGGGAGGCACGGGCCGGCGTCGGCGCGCGCTTCGACACCAGAGGGCCGGAGTAGCCGACCAGACCAGAAGGCCGGACAGGATCCACATTGGCTGGAGGCAGCGGCAGCAGGTGGAGCTCGCTGATCTTCAGCGACGATGCTGGTGGCACCGGTGACATCTTTGGGGAAACCTTGGGTGACACAGACGACGACGACGCGTGCCGGACGTGCGGCTTGGCCGCAGGCATTGCACCAGGGTAAGCCATGGTGGGCGATGGCCTGTGGTCAGCCTGAGAGAAGGGCTTGCCGCCTGACCCGGCCTTGATCGGGATCGGACCTGACCATGACTCCCTCTTCAGCTTCTTCAGATCATCGGTGCTTGATGATGACGACGGCTTGGTAGCGGCGTTGTGCATGGCGCCATTGTAGTCTTTTGTCAGAGGAGACGAGTGCCACAGATTCGTCGGGGCATGGGGCTTTGTTTCGAAGAATTGCGCGGAATGATGCAGCCTGTGTGAACCTGATGGTACGGGGTTGTCAGCACCAACTGGGGTAGGGAGCCTGTACGAGTGTTTGGTTGAGGATGGCCTCATTTGCCGAAGCCTGTCAGTTTCATCAAGCAAATTGCCAGCAAAAAGTGGAGCTGAATGTGTAGCGAACTCGGGCTTCAATTGCGGGAACACTATTTCGGCCTCTGCTTGTTTTGCCTCTTCCTGCTTATTATGAGATACCAATCAGAATTTCAGAATATAAATATATGTACTAGCATTTTGTTAACTTGGTACAAAACTGGAGATAGAGGGGTAGAGGCTGGTGAAGGTGCATCATACATATATATTTTTTTCGCTTGAATAATTGCTCTTTGAGTAGTGATAGATTTGGGTGTAAACACTCATATCAACCACCACATTGAAAAATAATAGTTTTTCCAAACTCAGTGAGTGCATCAAAATAAAACGTAGTGAAATTTGGATAAGAGAAATAACTAACTAACGAAATCATATTAGTCGACCCAGTTAGAACACTTCTAATATGAGTATTATGGAGTGGCAGCACACCTGCTTGTTTTCTTTGATTGGCTTTGGTGAAGTAGTCTGATCACTTTTATCAAACTGGACACAAAATAAAAGAACATAAATTAGATAAAAATATAAAAGACAGATCATCAGTATTCTCAGTAGAATTTTATGAATAAAAATGAACAGAAAATAAAGTGAGCAAATTCCAGAGATAATCAGTGCAAACTATAGAACCTTAGTGAGCTGATTAGACAAAGAAAGCATAAAGAGTTGAAGCTTATGCCAGTTCAAATGCTACCATTGATGCTGATTTATAAGATCCATATATTGTAAAACCAATTAAGAGGAAAAAGCTGAAACTAGGCTATATATGTATGAGGTGGTTAAGTAGAAGCACTAGATGAGAGGCAGCAGCATTAAAAGGGCTTTTTTTATTATTTAATGGAAATGTTTTACATCCATGGCCTCTGCTGTAAGGCACACAAACAAATTAAAAGACAGTAACCAAATATAAATGGAACTTACATCCATTGAACCTCTCGAAGTAAGAAAATCTTGGTCTCTATCGTTTATTTCATAGTCGAAACTCAGTTCTCCGTCATCACTACAAGAATCGTAAGTACTGTAGCCATCATTGTCAGAACCATCATCCTCTAGACCGCTGAAGTTATAGTCAATGTGATGTTTCTCAGATATTGCTTTGACACGAGGTTCAAGTGCTTCGAGACATTTGAGTCCTTTCCTGAAAAAACTTAACTGAATATATATACAGTTAGGTTATGTGGCACTCAAATCTCAGGGAAATAGTTAACAGTTTCATTGAGTTACCTGAGCAGCATGATGGCGAGCAGCCTGTGTTAACAGGCTCTGGAATTGCCCTTGCTTTAATGATTTCAAGCGAAATGTGAAAAGTGCTGAATCCTCTTGGTATTCAAGAAAAGAAGCGTCCAGTTGTTCTGTGGAGAATGATTCGGTTTTGGAATGCCTTGACCCTCCTTTGTCACTATAGGATGCCCTCATGGTTTCATATGCGTCCCTGCAGGGAACAGAATAGGATTGTTCAAGATGCGTCTCAGTGAGAAATGACCAAAAATGAAAATGAACTTGAGGTGTGTTTGAACCTTTTCATGTCGCATTGTTGTTTCATTTCCTGCGCAATGCAAACAAAATGTATAAGCATATCATGCTACATTGATGTAAACATATTGTTTTTCCTGTGGTTCACAGGCAATCCTAATTAACCAACTAATGAGTAGCCAATAAACAATTGGTATAAAGTGGTAGCAGTTGTTGTTTTCAATTATAAGAATACATAACTGAGCAAAGATTTCAGAGGAAATTTTGTATATCAAACCTCTAAAGTTTGCAGCTCCTTAAGAAGAGATTCAGATGGGGTTGTGATTGTGTGGATGATATTTGTTCGCTGGATAGCCAATTTAAAAGCGTGTCAGCACCAACAGATTGTAACGTGGTAAAAAAATTTAAATAACTATAATGAATTCCAAATTGTTGTTTTAAAAATTCACAGTAACAACAAAAGTAACTTACGTATCTATCCGCAGATTTCTGTAGTTCATATTGGGCCTTACCGAGCATCATCAACACTCTGCCTGAAGGTAAAAAAATAAGCATAAAAACGATTACAGTAGTCAACAAAAGGAAACTTTGGACTGAAGGAAGTACAAGCATACATGGTTTTCATAGTGGTTAGAATCTAGTAACGCGATGTTTTACACCATGAATTTCTATATGGTTAATAATGGACAACTCACCACTATCGTCGTCGTCGTCATTTAGCACAGGTTTTGCAAGTAAGCAACTTCCCAGTTCCTCTAAAGCCTCAGCAAACTCTGCACAATATTACACTATGATCAACTTAAGAAATGATGTATAGACAAACATGCTATCAACTGTTGACAGAAACCATGTTAAGCATTAGAATTTAGAAACAGGAGGTACCATATACGCCATTCGTTGTAGCAGCTGCTGCTGAAATGAAGCCATCATAACAGTTCCTCATTTCTTCCACATCCTGAGACAAACGCAAAACCATATTTCAGTTATGAATGCAACAATGCAAAGGAAATATTTCCCATTACCAATAGACTAGTACTATTTAATTGCTGGCCAGCAATAAATTGTAGGCAGCCACAATCCTAAGAAAGGGTAGAAGTACCAAATACAGCAAGCTGAACCCATTAGAAAGCAGAATAAATTATAAGCTGCCCAGTAAAACATGGATCACACAGTCCTCTTAGACATATATCTGATAAGGCGAAGTAAAGGGAAAAACAGTTTCTGTCATATCACTGTCATTGACCAACAGTAGCAGTAGGCTGTTGAGAACAACTTCTCCAGCTTAATGGCGCATTACATTGCAAGTGCTTCTCAGTGTCATCATTCAGATGGCACAAAAGATATCAAGATTAGTTGCATTGCCTGTCACTCTGTCCAATAATTGGTGGAAAGTCAGAAATTGCAACTAAGCTGGCGTACTTCAGAAACTCCTCTCTGTTCATGGTTCAACTCCCAATTCAGCACCAGAGACCGACGCGGAATCGGAACGGAATATCTCGTGCGTGTTCTTGGATAAGCGTTCATACTTTATCCAGAGTTCCAGTCAAGATTACGTCGAACAGCTGACCGAGATTATATTAAATATAATCGATTGCTATCTTCGCAGCAACTTTCTCCGATGGACGCGTCGTCCTCTCCTATCGTAGACTTTGACCAGACATGACCCGCGAGCAGAATGGCTCCCGGGCAAACACGTAAAGGGCAAAATTGCAGAGAAGTTGCACGTCGTTTTCGTGGAGGTTAGCCTAACAACTACTCTACTTTGAACATCCGATATACTAATTTAAACGAGGCTCCTACTGTTTGGATCAGGGTTTCAAAAACCGCCGGGGGCCCGGTTACCGCCACCCGGCGGTACGGCGGTTACCGGCGGTAACCGCGGTAACCGCGCAAAACCGCGACAAATTTACAAATCGAAATTTGAATTCAAAAATTCGGGCAAACCGCGCGGTTTGGCGCGGTTACCGCACGGTTTGACGCGGTAACCACGCGGTTTGGCGCGGTTACCGCGCGATGTGTAATGGGTTGCACAGTAACGGGCCGGCCCATTTTTTTTTCTTTTTCCAATTTTCAAATTTATTCTCCGTTTTGCTCTCAAATTTGAATAAATATTACTCTTTTTTGAGAAATTTCTTCACCATAAAACACTATAAATCAAGCACTACCTTCACTATTTTTTTTGATTTTTTTCTTTTTTTTTAAATTTTTAAATTTGGATGAATTTTATTAAACCGTACCGCGCGGTACGGGTAACCGTACCCCCGCGGTACGGGCGGTAACCGCGGTAACCGCGCGGTTTCCGGCGGTTATTCACACCCTGGTTTGGATTAAATAAAAGTTTAGTCCTTCTGCACGCTTGAATCAACACGGGGCAAGTTCAAAGCTTTGATTATTCTAAACGACCACCAATGACCATCAGAAAATAATTAAAAACGAAAATTGATGGATCAATTTCTATTTAAACAGTTCGAGCTCTGTTCCTCCAGCCGCATTGAATAACCAAAATACTACTAGTAGTAAAATCATTTTGAGCATCCACACCTAATCAATAAACGAGTGCACCAACCAAAGAACAGCGCACTCCACCTGGAAAACAACGCGGGGGGTGGCTAAAAATCGCAATTTCGCATAGGGCTCCTCCCAAGATCCGATTTTGACGCCGATTTGATCACAGAAATCCCAAAAAAAAAAAAAAAACAGGAGATAGATGGGAGGAGGAGAGGAAGAAATCAATAAATCAATCAATTAATCAATAAGTCGATGGACTCGCGCACCTGGGCGGCGTCGGCGAGCTCGTCGAGCTTGGCCGGCGTCGGCTGCGGCTGCGGCTGCCGCGACTTCCTCTCCCTGTGCTGCTGGTGGTGGCCGAAGCCCTTCAGCCTCAGCAACGGCGACTTCATCGATCGATCTCTCTTCCCTCTCCCCTCTCTGATCGATTACTCCTCCTGTCTAACAATCCTTATAATTTTGTGGGGATTAAGCTTATCTAATCTTTTGCTTTGGGCGGCGATGGTGGAAATCGCAAGAAAAGAAAAGGGCCTTGATTTCGCCTCTCTCTCTCTCTCTTGATCTTTCGTTGTTCCTCTATGAAAGGTAGACTAAAAATGGAGGGAGATTTTATAGTTATAGCTGCTGCTGCTTCTTTTATAACTTTAGCCTAATGGAAAGATATAGTGGGGCCCCCATGCCCTTGGTTGACCAAAGAAAAAGAAGATTAGACAAAAAGCAGTCTTGGATTTGATATAGTAGTATAATAATAATTGTAGACTGACTGAGAGAAAGCTTAGCTTAGACCGGCAAATAGTAGTAGTGGTAGCATCAAGGAGATTTTGCTACGAATTTTTCTTGATTTGGGTTGGTTTTTCGTCGGAGAAAAGATTAATTTTCTACTGTATTTGTTGTTCCCCTTTGCTTTTGAATTTGATGATGACATCTCGTCAGATACTAACAGCGGCTGATGATACAGTGATACTTACCTAAATTAACACTGAAACCTGTGGATTATTATTTTGGTTTAGTAACTATACTACTCCTACTTTTTGTTTCAGTCATACCATATGAACTAAATAATGTCTCACGCTTTGCTGCGAGATATATATTGTATAATGGAGAAATGATGAAATCATTTAGATTGAAATATTATAAAAATGATTTGAGAATGGTTATTTAGCATGTGTATGTTTAATTTTAGAATAAAATAAATTATAAATATAATTACTATATACTTACATGTTGAGCTTTACGTGTTTACTGGATTGACGTGGCATGCTTGCGTGTAGGTTTTAGAAGTACTAATAAATACAATGATTGCATGTTGAGATTTAGGTATTTAGTGGGTATTAGCTTTATAGAAAGAAGATATTAACATTGAAACCTGTGGATTATTATTTTGGTTTAGTTAATTACTTCTACTAGTTTTTATTTCAAGAAAATTGCATGTGTACCCTGAAAGTTTACCTAATCTTTTCTATTCTTCTGAGATTTGCTCGTTCCCTTCCATACTTCTAAATTTCAGTTTTGACCCCTTCTATACCCTTTTCGTTAGTTGACCGTTAAATTCCTACAATAATATCCATTTTTCCATTTGGTATCAAGAAAATATAATTTTATAAAGTATATTGATTGAGTGTATAAATTTATTGTATGCGACTATTTTATTTATGAGTTTATTTTGTGGGATATTATTTAACAAAAATAATATTTTAGTTTCGCCTCCGTGAAGGAAAAACAAAAAAAAATATCTATGACAAAGTTTATTTTTAGAAATAACAAATATAATATATTTTTTACCATTAAAAACTGTATATATAGCATATTTTGTTACAGTAGTACAATATTTTTATAAGATAAATCTATTTATGTTCGAAATAAATAATAAAAAATTATTTTTATGTCATATATAAAAATAAATTATCATAAATATTATTTATGACTTTGTTATGCAAGATATTATTTATGATAATTTATTTTTTTCATACAAGATAAAAATTATTTTTGTAAATAATATCTCACAAAATAAACTCATAATAGTTGTATATAATAAATTTTTATACTCCATCAATATAAATCATAAATTTATATTTTCTCAATACCAAAGGGCAAAATGGAATTTATGGTAGGAATTTAACGGTCAACTAACGGAAGAGGTATAGAATGGATCCAAACTGAAATTTAGGGGTATGAAAAAGAATGAGCAAATCTCATGGGTATAGAAGAGATTGGATGAACTTTTAAGGTAAACAAGGAATTTTCTCTTCTATTTCAGTCATACCATCTACTGTTCATTAGTTAATAGGTACTCCCTTCATGCTAAAGTCTAAGTTATACTATTTCTTTTATCTTACCTCATCCCTCATATAACAAAGACTAATAAATTATAGGCATACATACAAACCAATAAATATATTAAGAGCAAGTACAATAGCATACTATAAGCTAGCTATAAGCATATGCAGAAAAAAAAAGAGATGAGAGAGAAAAAAAGTGTGTTGCAAATTTACACTCAGCTGCAGTACGGATTTTAAGATGTTGTGTTTGTATGAGAGATGGAACCAATTATATAATGGCGTAGTATATATTTGTAGTAACTTTTGTATGAATAGTCTATTAGATTAACTATAGATGATTTGGAGTAGTTAGATATACTATCAAACTTGCTCTAAGATGATTACTTGGGCGGTAAAATGAAAAGACGATCCATTCATTTAAGTATTAGATGTATAATGACTAAAAAATATGTCCCTCTCATTAAATAAAAACAATGCAACAAATAAAATAGGATAAGACTTTTGGATGGAGAAAGTAACAACATATTATCTCTAATACACGAACCTAAGTGATTTTATCTTTTGTTAATTCACTCTCGTACTATCTCGCTCTCTCTTTGAACTTACCTTAGAATTTATATAGAGGTTGTTATCTATACGAAGGGTGGCTCGTCATTTCTCTTCTTCAGCTAATTATCTAATGTTCTGTGAGTGTGATATTTTTACAGGCAACCTATTTGCTATAGGGAATATATACTATGCACACAAGCTTCCTATGAATACTCCGTGCACATCAACTAATAAATATCACAAAAAATTTTAAAAAAAATTGTACACATACTTCAAATAGTATTAAACCTACATGTGAAATTTTATCTTCAAATTCATTATATTTTAGCCATAATAAAAAAGACAAGATTCTGACATATTTTTACCCTTAAGACTGTCAGATTTTCACCTTTTTTTAGGCTAAAGTATAATAAATTTAAATATGAGACTTTGTAGATATGTGTAATACTAATATGAGTAAATGTTCAACTTCTGCTAAAATTTTTCGTGGTATTTTTTAGTTGGTGTGCACAGGAAGGTTATGTGTATTTCTGGTAGAATTTTTCGTAGCATTTGTTAGTTGGTGTGCACGAAGTGTGCACGGAAAGTTTGTGTGCATAGGATATGTTCCCTCTGTTCTATGCCTCTGTAACTCACCCTTTTTTTTTTCTTTCCAGAAAGTGTTTAACTTTTTTTAATTATGGCTGCGAATGTTAGGTTGATGGGGTGTGATGCCCTGGTTGCTCGGATAGATACGCGTGGGTGCGTGCAAGCGCAACCGATGAATCAATGAAGTGGCCTCACCGTCAGGTCGATCAGGAAGCACTTGCAAAATGGCAAGGGCACCGTGACATGATTCATGACCACCCAAGTTGAGCGAGACATGACCACCAAGCACCAACCCAAACCGAGGCCACCTGTCCACTTTTTAATGGTGTTCTTTTTTCCCCCCGAACCTTTTCAAAATTTGTTTATTTTTTTCTGAAAAAGAGAACTCAGCATACTTATTTATTAAAAAAATATTGTAATGCCACTATTTATTGCGTGACAATGATAAATAAATTTTAGGAGATTCTTTTTTATGTTGTATATACTAAATAGAAGTAGTTTTTTTGCGGGATATATACTAAATAGTTTAAAACACATAAAAATAATCATTGTTTTTTTTTTATTTTGGGGATTTCCTATTGTTTGCAGTTTACATAAGGGCATACGGGTCTTCTTCTTAAAAGAATATAACGTCAAACTGGGTAATTTTTTTTTTTAAAAAAAAGGGTCAGGAATACTAGCAGAACAGTAGGGAAAAAGAGAAGCGCAAGAATTCGATGGCAATTAGGACATAATATATTTTGAGTAAATTATACCTCTATTTAGACATAATGTTTGACTAATAAGGAGAATATTTCAATTGTTCATCCAACTCAGCAAGATTACTCATACTGTGCCGCTTTGGCCTTAAGTTAATTTGCATGTACCATACAACTTTGTATAAATTAATGAAATGAACGTTTTACAACTTTATGTATTAAAATAATTATATTCATCTTACAAATTCATTTACTATCAGTGTAATTTATTCATATATTTTTAAGGAGTGACAAAAATAAAGGAAAATATATTAACATATGCCCATGTGTACATTTGTAGGCATAAGTTTGGTTCGTCATGCATGGTTTCACGAGATTGGTCCATTATTAAATTTACTATTATTCTAGCCCAAGATTATAGTGAAAATGATGAATTACACATTGAATTGTGTTCTTGTTAGAAAGACAAACATAAAATAATTGGAGAAGCAACATTAGTGTTGTGGGGATTCACTGTTTGCTTCCATCTATTTGAGAGTGGGCACATTTGGGGAAGTATGAGAGTGTTGTGGTGCGTGCATACGTCTTATGCATAATAAAAAATAAATAAAATAATGCGGTGAATTTATACGTTTGTTGATAAAGATGGATAAACTAGTACTATATGCTGCAACACTTTGTTTGGTACGTACGAATATAAAAGCACTCATTTCATTTGACAAAAAAATACCTAGAATATTGCAAAATTAAGCTAGGCTATCTAATAGTTTCGAGATTCGTACTGCTACAGTGATTCTACATTATCATCTATCCCCCAACCCCCTTGGTTCTTTCCTAACGCTCTTTGGATGTCATCTGATAATGCCTAGCGCACCGCTGACGCCTCCCCACCCAACACGTCATCGCTCGGTCGAAAGACGTCAACAGCGTCGGCGAGGCCTCCTGACCAGCCTCCTCCTCAATCTAGTAGCAGCGAAGGCCTATCAAGTGATTCCTTGCTACCGGATCCGCCATCTAGGCCACCGCTTCCTACCACTTCTTTGCTTTGCCTCCGCCGCCAACGTCGACTCGACCACCGCCTTCTTCCATCCTCATGGCTTTGACACCGACGCCTCTCATAGCCATCGCTTTAAATCCGACAATCTCCCTCTACATACCTTCCTACCATCATGTCAATCCGGGGTCATGGTCAAACCCTAACTCTGGGTCGTCGTCGGTTGCCAAACTAGAGAAAAAGTATCTAGGGTTACCGGATCACGAATTGCAAAACACACAAATCATGAGTTTAGAAATTTACAGATATTTTAGCCCCAATAATCGCAAAGAGTTGCGAAGAACAATCTGAGATGATCTCGCTCGCCATACAGCACTTTGTTTGGAAGGCACGAAACATGCACGCTAGTCATGCATGCCTGGGAAGAAAGGACCATATGCTGATCTGCTTCGTTGGACCGTGTTAATTCCAAACGACCAGCGGTTGCTCAGCCACGAAGAAATTAAACCATCATACGTAAGCTATGATATATTGGTACTAATTAAACGACCTAATTAGTATATATACTTCTTCTTTCATATCATGTCAAATCCTTAGTTTTTTAACCAGTCTTCCGAGTAATAAGACTTTCTAGCAATTCTATATGAATGCGACCAATGCTAGAAAGTTTTATAATATGAAACGACCAATCCTAGAAAGTTTATAATATAAAACGGAGGAAGCAATTACTCGATCCCTTGATCTCCTCGATCCCTCGTTGTAAGCGAATAAGCGATTAGCGATCAAGGTCAGACGTGCGGGGTTTTGACCGTGGACCGAAGAACGGCCCAACAGGTTTAATTTCGCCGGTCAAACGGTGGTTAGCTAGCGTATACATTACTAGTATGTACGTGCATACATGTCTCGGCGTACATACGTACGTCGTCGTCGCAAGTGCAGCGCCGCCACACACAGTGTGAACTAACCTACGTAAGAGCTGACCTGGATGCATGGGTTTCTGTGACGCAACACGTGTCTTGTCTGTGTGCCAGTTGTCAAAATCAACCTTAAGGGTGTGTCCTGTCGTATCGGAAGAGAAAGTATATACTACGGCCCTGTTTAGTTCACACTAAACTTCCCTCAAACTCCTAACTTTTCATCACATCACATCACATCCAAAACTTTCCTACTTACATAAACTTCCCACTTTTTTTTCCAATCTACCAACTTTCTCCAAACTTCTCCCAATTTCAGAAACTAAAACACAACCTACGTATCATATTGGAGGTTTTAGATATATAGTCTATAGTTCAAGGTGGCCCTTCATCATATATCTGGTGACGGAGAGGCACAAAGTTCAAGGTTAATTAAGCTAATAAGAGCTTAAATATTTTCACAAATTACAAAGTATTTTTCAAGATTATAATGGGGATTATGAAGCTAGGTGTGGGGCCCAAGCTATAGCTGCCCCATGCATGTTTCTGCCCCTGATTATATTGTTAAATGTGCCACTTAGGTTAAAGCTACTGTACATGGCATTCCTTCTCAATGCACAGTGGTTTGAAGGGGAAAAAAACCACCATGATGATTTATGGAAGAGAACTACTGGCATAACCACTACTACACAAACTAGATAGGTATTGGTTGGGAACCTAGCATAGATGTCAAATTTTCCAACCGGCACAAAGGTGCTGGCTCCAAAACCGGCACCTTTGAGGTCCAAAAATACAAACAAAGAAAAAAGCTCGTAGCTGCCGTCTTCACCCCAAAAAAAGCGGCTCAATGCATCGGCTCAAAGCATCGAGCAGCTCCCCTTCACCCGATATCACCCAACATTTAATTCATAGAATTAATCGGCATCAAGAACTACCCAAAGAACATCAACTCAAACACAAAACACAAAGAACATGGAGAGGATGGATGACGGCCTCCATGGAGAGGATGGAGCAGCAGACGAGCAGCACATCGGGTCCCATCTTGCATAGCTCGTCGGCGGTGGCGAAGAAGCAGATCCCACAGCACGTCCGAAGGCGCCACCCGCCACCGCCGCCTCCCCTCCCGCCGTCGCCCACAATCGCACGTCGCTATTGTCGCCTCCCCTCCCAACGGATCTGGCAGAGGGGAGGGGCGCCGCCTGCCTCCCACCGTCACCTCCCCTCCCGACAGATCTGGCGGAGGGGAGGGCTTCACCCGCCACCACACGCCACTGCGCCTGAGAGAGAGAGAGAGAGAGAGAAAGAGAGAGAGAGAGAGATGGGAGAGGATGCGGTGGAGAGGATAAGGACATACAAGAGATAAGGAGGAGAGGATATGGATGACAAGGTGCGGTGTGGTGCGGTTCGACTCCGCTCAATATAGGGGTGTCGGTTCTTCTTTATAACAGGCACCTATAGTTACTTAAAGGTGTCAGTTTTTTGTGTTTTTAGTCTACGGAGATGGAAAAAGGTCTACATATGTCGGTTTTCGCACTTCAGGCACCTATAGCGCCGATCTCTATGTGCCTTTTTTAGTAGTGAACACAACTCCCTCCACAATAGCTTACGCATCAAGTAGTCTTTTCAAGTTGCTTAAAAAACCGTATGTGTTTTTCATGAGACATGTGCGCCTCTAGAGGCCACTCTTTAGGCTAAGGTGGCGACTTGGCTTCAACATAAAGGTGCGGGGTGACTTACCATGTCACCACACAATGTAATTGTGCTTATGTTATAGGGACGCCCTCTTTGTTTAGGCTAAACTTATTAGCTTAGGCTTTTAAGTTAGCTTATCGGCTTATGATTTATACCAATGGATTTAATATCCTAAGTTTAGTGGTGGAGTCGTACATCTACCTTATATAAGCCAAAAAAGCTTCTCCAACTTAGGTTTTGGCTTAATAGTGTTAGAGTGGCTTAATAGTGTTAGAGTGGCTTATGGCTTAAAAAAAGCCAAACGAAAAAGCTGCTTATTTGTTTAGTATTAGACTTTTTAGCTTATAAGTTAAGCCTTAAAAAAAGAGAGAATATTTCAAGAGAGTAGAAGAGCTAATTTTTCTCACCTTTGAATGCGTGGACCCTTTTGGGATTTTGGCAGCTTCTAGTATCTAATCATGCGGTCACGAAAAACCTTTTTATGAATACCAAGGTGTGCCTCGAGAGTTGAGAGGATGTGCTAAGGTGAGCATCCGTTTTAAGGCTTTTTCGGTTTCTCGGATGTTCGGTTTCTGTATAGTAGAAAATCACAATATATAGTTGTGAGAAAAAATGTTGCTTTGGTGGTTTATTGTCAAAGAGGAGCATGTCTACAGCTAAGCCGAGCCACTCCCAAGTCCCAACAATAATCAAGTGCACGACCAAGGTTGGATACTTGGTGTTATGCCACTCACAAGACAAAACCGCGAAAGCTATGTGTGCCCTGTCTACATCAAGCAGGTGAAAGACATCTACTCTAAAGATTTAATCTTGCATGGTGTCGGTTTCTTCAGTAAGTTTGATTCACACTAGAAAAAAGGACATACGACTACAAACTAAATACTGAGTTACATGAAAATAGAAACTGAGGAACCAATCGAAAAACCAAAACTTTGGTTCGGCATTCCGTTCGTGGTTTGTTTTTGCCCACATCTACTGCTACCAATATGCGTAAGAGATACTTTGGTCGTTTGACACTCTAGCTTGATGAAGAGTTGGATGAATTGTTTTTGAATTCGATTCAAAATTATAAATATAAAATTTATATATGTATAAAAATTTATATGTGCAAACTTTATATACACATAGGTACAAAACATATATGTATAAATTGTATAAACTTTTTTATGTGTAAAGTTTTATATATAGTCTCTCTATTCCAAAAAGAATCAAATCCTAGAGGAAAAAGTATACCGAAGGTCCCTCAACTTGTCATCGAGTTACAAAATCCATTCGCTTTAGGTCCTTCGGTGGTTTTGAACCCGGTTTTATCCGACGTGATGGCTGAGTCAGCGTGGAACTCACGAGGGCCCCACATGTCAGTGTGGCCACATCATCTCTCTTTTCCCCTCTTCTCTCCCTTCCTCATCTCTCTCTCTCTCCCCCTTCTCTGCTCTGCAAGGCAGGCAATGCCTCGGCGGCGGGCGTCGGCAGTGATGGCGGCTATGGGCAACGTGGCGGCGGTGGGGGGAGGAGCTGTTGGCGGGCGGCGGGTGGCCGAGCTAGAGCAGGAGGCTGACGCGGAGGAAGACGAGTGTGCAGCGGCCGGTGACGCGAACGACGGCGGCGGTGTGGAGCGGCTGAGGCGGCGGCTCGCGGCCGAGGGGAGGTGGAGAAAGGCCACGCTGGAGGAGCTGGAGAAGGATAGGTGCGCGGCGGCCGACGAGGCCGAGCTGGAGCAGGAGGCTGACGCAGAGGAAGACGAATGCGCGGCAGCCGGTGACACGAACAGTGGCGGCGCAGAGGAGGGCGACAACGTGGAGCGACTGAGGCGGCGGCTCACGGCCGAGGGGAGATGGAGGGAGGTCGCACTGGAGGAGCTAGAGAAGGAGAGGCGCGCGGCGGCGTCAGCGGCCGCCGAGCTGGAGCAGGAGGCCGACGCGGAGGAAGATGAGTGCGCGACGGCCAGTGATGCGAATGGCGGTGACATGGAGGAGGGCGGCAGCGTGGAGCGGCTGAGGCGGCGGTTTGTGACAGAGGAGAGACGGAGGGAGGTCGCGTTGGAGCCTGGAGGAGCTAGAGAAGGAGAGGCGCGCGGTGGCGTCCGCGGCCGACGAGGCTGAGCTGGAGTAGGAGGTCGACACGGACGAAGACGAGTGTACGACGGCCAGTGACGTGAATGGCGGCGATGCGGAGGAGGGCCGCAGTGTGGAGCAGTTGAGGCGGTGGCTCGCGGCCGAGGGGAGGCGGAGGGAGGTCGCGCTGGAGGAGCTGGAGAAGGAGAGGTGCACGGCGGCGACGCGCGGCCGACGAGACCATGGCCAAGATAGCATGCCTCCGCCGTCCGCGCGCCGCCTGCCGACATCTCCTTCCCCCACTGCCGCCGCGTCCCCCGTCATCGCCATCACCGCCGACGCACGCCACCGAGGCTGCCGATCTTGCAGAGTAGAGAAGGGGGGAGAGAGACAAGGAAGAGAGAGGCTGATGAACCCTGAGCTCCACTCGAGACACTCAAGGCTGTTGTTGGCCCGATCTTTCAGTGAGTTGAGATAACTACGATTTGAGAGAAATATTGACGACCCGATTACAACCGTACTAGACATTGTTGTCTTGCGCCTTAGCGATCGATACACCTCTCCGTGGGTTGTTGATCTTGCCGGTGCAGATCAACGTTATTCCTGCAAGCAAATCGAAGAAACAAGCAAGAATAAGATAAAAACAATCTGAATTGCAGATATGAATTGAATACAAATGATAGGTTGGGGTTCTGTAACGAGTAAATCGGCGATATAACTGATCACGGGATTACACGGCAAAGTAACAAAGCTAAACTTTAATCTAAATAAAACCCAAGCAACCCTGAAGGGGTATCTAGCTACTTATAGGGGTGGGAGAACAACCAAGAGGATCCTAGGGTCGTGCTCCACCAGATTGGGGCGCACCCCACATAGGCCCCACTTGGGCCGGGGTCCCAAACGAAATTACAAACCCAAAGGCCCATGACAGGTGATGCAGCACATTGTTTCTTCATCTGCGGATGACTTGGATGGAATTTGGTGATGAGGCCGGATCCGTTGGAAAGAGGACTCCGAGAGCTTTCCATCAAGTATTCATGGGCCGAAAACGGAGGTCGTATGTAGATTCGGCGGCCATTTGAAGTTAGCAGGGTAGCAGGTGGCCGAATCTGATTCCAGCACTTGGAAGACTTGATCTTAATATCATCTTGTTCTTCCATGATGTGAGCAATGGTTATATCTGTAGTGACCATAGTCACATCAAGGGGAAAATAGAGATGATGTGGCCACGCTGACATGTGCGTTCCACGCTGACTTAGCCACCACGTCGGATAAAACTGGGTTCAAAACCACCGAAGGACCTAAAGCGAACGGTTTTGTAAGTTGAGGGATGCCATATATGTTTTATAAGTTGAGGGATGTCATATATTATCTGGTTTTACGGTTGGGGGATGATTTCGTAACTCGATGGCAAGTTGAGGGACCTTCGGTGTACCTTTTCCAATCCTAGCTACCAATGTGGATGAATGTATATATTTTGACTGGGCCAACATGCATGTTACTAGTGGGCTCAAGGCCCAGGAAAGAAAGAAGACACACCTAGGCTGTGTGGGCGCACGTTGACTCGCTCTTATCGCGTTTAGCAACTCGCGCGTTAGACCTCCCCCCAAAGAACTTGACTCTTTTCCTTCGGAAGTACAAACTGATAATAAGGAATGACAATTGATTTACTTATAATTAAATGATGCCAACCCATAGCTAGGATTGGATATGTATATAATTGGTGCAACCGCGAATAAATATGCAAATGTCTAAATTGAACCCCGTCAGATGATCGAGTGACAAACATGAATAAACAGTTCATTACTTTAGCGAAAATACAGCGGTTTAGATACATATATATGGTATACAACAAGGTAGTTGCCTTCTCTATGTACAGAGCAGATCACTCAAGAACAATGCATAGTTCTCATCCATGGAAACGGTTTGGATATCAAGAGGGTATGTTCTTACGCAGGCACAGCGAAGCTCGGTTCAGACCAGCGAGTTGGATCCACAACGAGGCACGGATCCGACTTCTTGAACTCAGCCACCTGCAGATCGAGTGCATTCAAAAGAAAGTTGAAAAAAAAAACTGAAAGAAAAAGCTCAATGGGAGAACAGCGTTTGGACAAGACGATGGCGAACCTTTTCCCCACAGCTGGGGCAGTAGTGGTATTTGTGCCAGAGGCAGTCCATGGAAGGACAAAGGAAGCAGACGCCCATCATGAAGGGCATCATGCAAGCCACAACTGATGCTAGACTTGGCTTCGACCTGTTCAAAGCAACAACAGCCATGAGTGTGTTTTTTTAAGTAATGAAGCTTCACCTAATGATATGTTTGGTATGGTATTGGTGCTACTGGTCTTGAGGTGTGGAGTAGGAAATCATAACACACAAATCGACAGCTACTTACAACTAAAATAATGCACTAAGACCCAAATTTATAGTATCAATATGGGGCTCAGGCTTAACTATGGTGTGCCAGTTCATTTCCCTATCAGGAAAATAAATACAAGAAATGTGTTATTCGTGCCCATTCTTGCATCGCCAACTTTAGCATATAAAACCATTACTCACTACTCAGCAGTCAGCAGTCAAATCTTGCATCACCAAGCTGACACATGATTTTCGGTTCACAAAAAAATCTGACAAATTGTCTCAATCCATAGCTCATGCAACCATTCAGAGTTAACTAGAACAGATAATGCAGGCAAATATTTAGATGGTCTTTGGTTCTTTTCAAAGCCCAATTCAAAACTAGTAACAAAACTCATATAGTGCCACTTCATCATATTTAGTGGCACCATCTGATTTGCGCCTCATAAATGCAAATGCAATTACGAACATAATAATAATAATAAAGGGCAGACCCCACTAGAAAGGTATACTGCGCCTCTCTTGTATATATGGTTGAAACAAGTAGACTGTTTTTGATACAGTTTGTCTTCTAATACTTGTTTCTATATAATCCCAAAAATAACACCTTTCAAACATAAAGACTAATATCGTTCACCAAAAGTTGTTTCAGATGTAAGGACTTAATGCAACAGACACTTAGCAATGTGGGCAGCAATATTGCCAGGAAACATACGAAAGACGGTCATTTAAAAACAGAGTAACACTCAATTCAGATATAAAGCTGATTGCAAACAATTCCAAGAATCATGCAAGCTCAGATGAGCTTCAGTAAGCCTTAGCACAGCCAATTAGATGGTCTCGGCAGCAGTTCAAAAACAGAAAATGAGCTTAGCTCAAGATGTAATTTGGTTCCTTTTTTTCGCAATGCTATAAAAATATGCTATAATTTGGTTCCTACAGTGGCAGGAGATATATACCTGTCAATAGAGGTACAATACCTTCCAATTAACATAAAAAAAATACCTCTGCCACACAATACCTCCCATGGACTGGGAAAAAAATTGTATCTTCGGACCTGTTCATTGAGTACAGAGGCTACTAAATAACACAAGTGACAAGTTAGTGGAAGTAGATGGCTACCATGTTACAATTCACAAACATCCATATATATAGATCTAATCTAAAGTAGTGAAAGAATTATTCTTTCTCGAGTGGAGGATTTGCCACATCATCAAAAGACTAATGGCCGTCAGATACAGCTTTGAAACAAAATTTACCGTTGGATATAGAGACCAACAAAGAATCAAAAGGTCAAAATAAAGAAGGGGTTGTCTGGAGGCTTCAAGAGGCTTCCAGGAGAAAAGGAGAGGGAAGAGTTCCACCAGCGATGGAAACAAAGCAATTTGTTGGTGGCTCTGAGTAATCGATGGCCCAAACAGAATAATGGGCTTAATTGAACCATTATAAATTCCTTCCTAATAGCAGCCGGAAAGCAGAAATTCCATCCTCTTTTCTTCATGTGACTGGAGCTTAAACAGACTGATGATTATCCATTATACCATGAAACCCAACTTTAAAAGAAAAATCAAAATAAACTTTTCTACTAATAAAATATGAATTCTATTAAAATGAATCTTCTTCTTTCAAACTGAAAGACATTTATACACTTGATAAGTTAAACATTTATTCAATTTAAGATGAAAAAATAAAATGAAATAAAATCCATAGTAGTTCTTTATCAAGTTCTTCATATAAAAATTGAAATTCCGCACATATATCCAATAGACATTACTCATAGAACTTTTACATACTTGTCAATGTGGGCATCAAAGTCACGCAACGTGCGACAAAGTGGCTAGTATATATGACTGCCAATTTCTGTTATTGTGTTTTATTACGATGGTCATGTTATATATTAGCTAAACTAGGTGTTACATGTCCTAAGTGCATGATTAACTCTAGCGCTCGAGACTCTTCATTAGAAGAAGAAAGCTAAATATGTTCGTGTAACTTTTAGCTTCCAGTACAAGCTCTGACATGTTATTTCAACTGACCTAGAAGGGTTCAGAACACAAGGAACTCTTCAAAGTGTTTTCTACCAGATGGAAGAATGCCTTTCTTCTACTCTCTCCGTCCCTAAATATAAGGGATTTTAGTTGGGTGTGACACATCTTAGTACAACGAATCTAGTCAAGCTCTTGTCCAGATTTATTGTACTAGGATGTGTCACATCCAACCAAAATCCCTTATATTTAGGGGCGGAGGGAGTAGTATTTGTAAGTTCATGTTTTCAGATAATGGAATCTTTTATTGAACTCATCCAATTACATCAAGATGATACAAAAGCACTGGTAAGGATTATGTTGTCCAAGCAGACTTAGGCCCTTGATTTGCATCTGTTGTAAACCTTAAAATGGGAGAGTAATTACAAGTTTGTAACTGATATACTATGAACCTATTATATTCTCTTCCTCATATCATCAGATTCATAATTTAACAATAACTCAAATTCTCACCTCCCCTATAGAAACTCAACTTAACAGAAAGCCAATCGTGAATGCGACTTGGATAAGAGCAAACGAATAACAAGAAACAGATGACATGAAAAACATGGGGAACTCCACCAGGGCTTGAGCTTCTCTGGTTTCGACAACCTAGAAAGTATCGATTTCTTCTTCTCCCTTTTCACGGTGCAGATTAGACTACCGAACAATCTAGTACTCGTTGCAGATCAATACACCGAATGCTGGCAATCTCGACCTATCAACCGCTCGAATTCCACATCTATCCCTTCGAATCGCAGGTAAAGGCCACAATAAAAAGACTGCAGGGGGGCGAGTACGGCGGGTTCTCACCGGAGGGAGGAGACGGCCGCGGCGCCGCAGGCCTGGCAGTGGAATGGCGCGGGGGTGTCGCGGAACATGGTCTGCTGCAGGGGCACCCCCTTGGGCGCGCCGGCGTAGATCGCGTTCGGCGGGGGCATCCCCGCCGCGTAGGGGTCCGGCGCGTAGTAGTAACCGCCCTGGGCCCCCGCCGCCGCCGGATGGTACGGGATGCCGATCGCCGGCTCGTCGCCGGCCGGCGCGGGGAACGCCGCCTTGGCCGCCATGGTGGTGGTGGTCGTCGTCGGTGACGGCGGTTGGGTTGGGTTGGGTTGGTTTGAATCTTGACTTGTCTCGCCGCGGCTGTCAGGTTGTGGGCTGGAAGCCTGGAAACGGAGAAGATATTTATATGTGTATGCGTTTGTACAAGGTCTGAAAAAAAAATATTTTCGTTGGAAAATTTTATAGGATTTTATGTGTAATCGTTCGTAATACTCCATAAAACTCTTCTAGAAAATGTAGTTAGTCAAAAACGTAACAAAGCAAATGTTGAAGATAGGAGAAATTACGAGACCTTGTTTATTACCGGCGCATTCCACACAATCGGGCTTTTTTTTTCTAAAAATGCTCGAAATTACTTTAATCCGGGCGACTGGCGCAGGGGAGCCCGATCTGGCGCTCCCCCGCGTGCCCCTCCCCCCTCCACATGCGTGAATGCAGGCCCTAGGTCCCACCGCATCCTCTACTTTCACCTGCCATTGAAAAAAATCCTTTGGATACCTCCTATTAAGGGAATTTGTTTTATTTTTTCCACCAAAAATATTTCATCTAGTGTATTCACAATATTTCACTATGTATAGTTCTAATGTTACAAACTGAAATACTCCATTGCAACCAAAAAAACCCACATATTTTGGAAACCCCCTATTAAGGGATTTCATTTTATTTTTTATTCCACCGAAAAATATTTCACCTAGTGTACTTATAATATTTCACTATGTATGGATCAAATATTATAGTGAACTGAAATATTCTTTCGCTATTTGCTGAAACATTGTTTTTATATAAGGTGAAACAACACCAGATTTAAACGGGTGAAACATTTTCGATCTACTTAGTGAAACAATTCCGATATACCTGGTGAAACATCGTGCAACATTTAAAAAAAATCAATAATAAGCTATTTTTTTTCATCGGAATATATCCATATGTGGCCTTGTTTTGAAGATTTAATTGCAACGAATTTAATGGTGCAATCGGATCATGATTTAGATAAATAATTTAAGAGAAAAATCAGTTTAAAATAGTTTTGCACGTAAAACAGGTGCTAACGTCAGCGTCCGATTTTTCGAAGATTTGGATCGGGCGACCAATCCCTAGTCACCTCCAGAAATGCTACACATCACACGTATAATTTTAGAAGAGAAATCATATGAATTTCTAGCCTTCAATTCGCTTAAGCCATGTCGAGACGGCCACCTTGGCATGGCCAAGAGTCGACCGGCCTGGCCTATTTCACGACAGTCATTCTAATCGACTTTAGATGAAATTCAATGTTTGTAATGTTCATCAAAGATGATATAAGGCCATTTCCAACCCAATAACTAGGATAGTGTCCATAACATTAAATAAACTGCTACCTAAAATGAAAAATGATGTGGCAAATAAATAAATGAGAAAAGATAATGAAACCATGTCTCGCATGAGATATGGTTTCTACACAACATTTAAGACATTATGTGAGATAAGTAACATTAAATTTAAGTATGGAATAGTGGTGTTTGCATTAAAAGAGTAATGTCAGTTTATGAAAACTATGTTAGTGTCTTGTGTTGGAAATAGCCTAAGACATCAAATGAGTCCGCTCACTAAAGGAGTGCTGGTCGTTGGGACCACGTGTCCAGGCTTGGCCCGGCCCATCCTATTTGCCTGGCCGACCTGCGCGCCCTTTTTCCACAATTATATTATCTAGATACGACGATACAGATACGGATACGCCATCTTCCTAATAATAAAGATACGGGGATACGCGTATATATATATAAATAAAAATAAAAAAAATAAATCGTAAACTAGGCAATTAGCAATTTAGCATAGCAGAGCATGCCAACACCAAGTCACCAACCATTAGATTCATCTCACCAAAATACAAATAATATAAGGCTAAACCAGTGCATATGTAAGTGCAAGATTTCAAATAGTACGCAAATCACAAATTAATAGTTCATCAACATGCATAGTTTCACACATCACAACCAGTTCACAGAGACGGTAGATAACATCAACATCATCATAGAGCTAATTCAAATAGAATTGTTTAGGACTTCAAATACAACTCAATAAATCAATTGCTGCTTTCATCCATTGTAACTGAAGTGGCTGAAGCGCCATTATCATCTTGTATATCCAATGCACCAAGATCTTCTAGCACTCTCTCAAGATTTGGCTCATCAAGTGACAGTGTTGGGCCCTCTCTAGGCAGCACCCGACAGTGCTGCGCCCTCTGGAGGCGGTGGCGCTGTGCCCAGCGGATGGCGCCGCTGCTAGGCGATGGCAAACAGCGGAGGCACGGCGGTGGACGGAGGAGGTGCGACGCGGCGGCGGCGGGGAATGGCAGTGGCGGAGGATGGTGGCGGTGCTGTGCTACGACGCAAGGAAGAGAGCGAGCTGAGTTGGGGTTGGGGAAGCAGCGCCGTTGATGTTCTTTGGCTTGCTCAGTGTTCGATGGTTTTGATCGATGATTTTAGGGTTAGAACGTATCGCGACCGTATCGGGAATTTTTTTTATTATCTGAAAATCGTGAAAACAACCGATACGTACGAGATACGTATCGGGGCATATCCGATACTTATCCATATCCGATATGAATACGTGGCCTGGGAGGCGTATCCAGGTAACATAGCCCCACGACACCCCTCTCGTGTTAGAAGCTCCACTTTGTTTATTTTTATTTGCTAGAATGTCAGGAATAGTATACTCTAGTTTGTAGAGGAGTTCGGTTGGGAATCGGCAAGATTTTGAAGGAATGTCTTTGGGACTTCAGTAGTGATTCTTGTATCTTACAAGTTATACATTTAGGCTAACATATATTTGCTTTATATTTTTTAGTATTTATTTTCCGCAATTACATTCACTCTTTATTTATGTTACAGAGTATTTCTCTAATCAACGGATTGGTCACTCATCATGTGGAATAAACTAGAAGTCTGTGGTGTAGAGTTTGCAGGTTTCTTGGTTGGATTTAGTTCACCTAGCTGGATTTGAGAGTGCTCTCTTCTAACCAGCGGGAGTATTTTACGAGTATACGACCTAGTCCGCTAGATGTGGTGCCTTGGATGTATAGTTCAAGGAAAGGGTAGTTAGAAAAATTGATGGATGTAATCGTACAGGTGGTGATAGCCCAAGGCGTCCTTAATAGTCGTCCACGTTAGTTCTAGTGTGTTGGTGTTAGACATCAAGAAGGGAAATTCCTTGATAGTGAGAACATGCGCCCTGTGCCTTATTAGTACAAGCCATGCTGAGATTTTCTCATGCTGAAATACATCTACTCCTTAGTCTCCTTTGAAACTCCTAAATTGGATAGGTTGGGTCCCTAAGTGTCATCTGTAGTTTAACTTCAGTCATATCTTTTATTAGATCTTACCCCCATCTCTAATTAGTGTAGATTTCCTTACACAAGCAACATAGAATGAAGAAAACATTTTGTGCCAGCAGTGTGTCCTTTGGAAAATATAAATACAATACCCTAGAATACTCCGAGATAAAGTACTATATTGATAATTCCATGCACGTGCGGAACTATTTTGTGAGAGCATAAGAAATTCAACAAGCACTTTTTCGCGTCGTTGCTAAGAACGCAATTGGATAAAACTTTCATTCTTTGTACATTGTCTTGATGAGTGGAAGTTTATTACTTTTCTAAGCGGGTTTGCATTTCCTCATGTTTTTTGTTGATCTGAAGACATGACATGTTTATGGTCAATTTTGATCTCCCAAAAAATTGTCAAAGTTATCATGAGTTGTTCATGAATAAGTGAAAAATATCATTATCATAAACACATCTCATCATCATAGGCCAAATCATAGGAGAATATCCTGTTAGTTCTTCCTTCACCGCCTCTAACTCAGCCTCCACGGATCATTATGGCCGAGAGGAAAATTCAGGACTATTCCGATCCTGTTAGCAAAGTCCCGCAAAGGCCGACCATCAATGTCAAGGCAGAGAATTTTAAGCCAAAGCTGATGTTTATTGATATAGGGCATATTTGGCAGGGCTCCAACTCCTAAATTTAACTCCAAGAGCTAGGTCTAGAGTGGAGTTGTGGAACAGCCAAAATCCAGCTCCTCCTTCAAGTTTATTTTCTGAAAGCACTCCAGCTAGCTCCACTCCCATTTTGGATGGAGCTGAAACTGTTTTGGCTAGCTCTATCAAACATGCCCATAGTTGCTCATAGTTCATGATGTGACCATGCCTACTGTGCATATATATAACCATTATTCACATTATGGGTTAACTGAAGGCATTGAGATCAACTCGCCCAAATTCTGGAATCCAAATTGACCGCCTCTAACAGCGTTGATTTCAAACAGCCACTAAATGTGCATACGAGCTCCATTTTGAGTCCATGAGTACTTGGTGAAAAGCTCTTGAAGTACTCTTTCCAACGTATCTAGCCCCATCTCCAAATTCCAAATGAATCATCCGCAATTGAATAAACAAGGTGTGGCACCACCTGTCATGGGCCTTTGGGTTTGTAGCTTCGTTTGGGGCCCCAGCTCAAGTCCTCCCACCTCTGTAAATAGCTATGTACCCCTTTAGTGTTTCTCAGGTTTTGTTTAGATTAAAGTTTAGCCATTGGTACTTTTTCGGGTAAAGTCATGATCGGTTAGATCGTTGTTTTCTCATTACGGAACCCCAACTTATCGTGTGTGTATTCAATTCATATTTGTAATGTCAGATTGCATTTATATTGTTCTTGTTTGTTTCTTCGATTTGCTTGTAGGAATAGGGTCAATCTGCAGCAGCAAAATCAACAATCCACGGATAGATGTATCAATCGCTAAGGCACAGCACAACAACGTCTCGTACGGTTGTAGTCGGATCATCAGCGTTTCTCCCAAATCGAAGTATTATCATCAACTCACCAAAAGTCGGGCCTATCAGAGTCGTGAGCATATCAAGTGAAGCTCAGGGTTTTATCAATCCATTATGTAGCAAACCATTAGTAATATGGTTGCTCATAATCCATTCTATAGCAAACCTTTGAAGATGCAACGGACACCTCCAACAGTTCTTAAAGGTTTGCAACACCTTCGCCTATTCCCCATTCTCTGGTTGAGAAGGCAAAGTGGTGTTCTATCCATTTGATCAAGAGGCTATCTTTATATGGATGAGA